GATAATAGGTAAGAAAAGAATGAGAATGAGGGGATTGAAGAAGATGTGTTACTTAGCAGTGTTATCATCCCATCTTTTGCAGTAGAATAGATGATTGAAGACCAAGAAATACCTCTATCTTCACTAAGAGAAACAAATGGGCTTCTGAGATTTCTCATAAGGGTTGTTTCTGTGGCTTCCTGTTTGCAAAACAGAATTTTGCAAACAAGAGACTATAAATTCTATGAAGGGCAGGATACAACTCTAGTATTTTTGTTTCTTTGTTTCAAATAGGTGAAAAGATTTTACTATATATTTTTGACATAATTTTTTCCACATTTGTTTGAAAGAGACTAGATGCGAGGCATGTTTTAGCTCACCTCCACCTTTAGGATTTTAGCACATTTTACCTATGTTTACCTATGTTGCATAATTTTGCAACATAAAGTGATTAAAAACAAGGGTTTTTTTAAATTACAATTGTGATTGAAGAATTCTATACACACTATTCTGACCCTCAAGCAGAATTATAATATAGGGTTCTTGCTGTTTTCTCTTCCTCTCCCCTCTCTCCCAGGTGGGTGATCTATAATGACCAGAAAGTTTGTGCCTCAGAGAAGCCCCCCAAAGATCTTGGGTACATCTACTTTTACCAGAGGATCCCCAGCTAGGATATTCTACTTCAGGGTTTGCAGCAAGAATCAACTGATGATGGGAGGATGGGAAATTCTAGAGATGAATATGAAGAAGAGGGACAACTCTCCATCCTTAGGTGTTCATATGCCACTGCTGCAGCCCCAGTGATGGGATTCCTTCACAAGAAAGCTGGAGTCTGCTGCCCCTTTGGACACTGATGGAGGGTTGGGGGGCTTGGGTGGATTTGAACCTCTGTGTAAAAGCAAGAAGAAAAATACCATCTTACTGAACCAGTCATCCAAGGCTCATCCATGCACATGGTTTCTTCTTGGTGTAGCTATAACACTCTAGGGCAGTTTAGAGAATGGTGCGAGTGAGAGGAAGCAGTTTACATGTGGATTTACATACTAGATGGGATGGGTTTCCTCACTTGCCTGAAAACCATTCAGGAATAATCTGGACATAAAGTAGTTCCTGTTACTTATGTGCCTCTGAAATGCCAAAAACACACAGGATCAAATAAAAACCTTTTACTCTCCTTCAAAAGTGGACTGTTCATATTGCTTCCAGTCTCTTCTGTTCTTTGTTATAAACTAGCTATAGCATTCCTGAACCATTGTTTTGCTGGAAAGAATGTGTGTAAGGACCTGCCTCAGCTATTTTCTCAGGAAAGCATAACTCTTGAAACAACTGGCATTTCAAAAAGAACTTTTACTGAGAGAAAGCGATTGCAGAGAAGTCAGGTGGCGTCTGAAGATTCCCATGCGTTAAGTTATTTTCCCCTTGTTCAACCCCCACCCAGAGCCCCATATCCAGTAGCCAATGTGATGCCATCAAGGTCCTATGGCAAATCCGATAGCTCCAAGGCTGGATGGTGATAGTCCAGATGGCCCATTCCTCCTCCCTAATTCCCAAGCAGTTACAGCAAAAGTGAAAATATGCAAAGCCTTCAACCCATGAGCCTTCCCCCCTTCCCTTCAAAATGGTAGCATTACGACAGGGACCTGACAATGTGTTTGTTAGCAAAAATGTAATGCATGATGAATTTTAGTAGAACATAATTTGGTAACTCCAAGTTGCCGTACTAACACTTTAAGCGATATCCCCTTCTTGCTCTTTCTAGTTTCCTCCTCCAACAGAAATAAGAATCTATTCCTTAGAAGATTCCATTGTTGCCTGAAAATGTTATTTTAGACCTATGAATTACGAAACTGCCTACCTTTTGCTTTCAAGGTTATATACAAACTACAAGTGGAGCAATGTCAATGCAAAAAAATATTTTCACTACAAGGGTTTTATGCCTTTAAACAAAATGCAAAAACCAAGGTCCCAGGGCTATATTCAAAAGTCTTTAAAAAAATCCAAATTGTTAATAAAATAGTAATTCTTAAAGTGAGACAAAGGAAAAATAGGAACTGTGTAACAATGATCTTAGTAACTGTCCCTGTCCCCAGCATTTTAGTGAATGTTACAAATATGCAATTGAAAAGTCCAAATTTGATGGTCTGCACAAAAGAGGTTGAGCATCCCTGCTTTAAATATAAGGATCAAATGCACTAAGATTGGTCTAGTCCATTTGTCAGTCCTGTCCTGAGGATACACTACCAACCTGGCAAAAAAATTAAAGTAAAAATCCATTACAATATTTACTGAATTGGCTCAGGGGAAGCAAAGTTTGTTCTTTAACAGATAAAGGTCCCCAGATTAGGAAGTTGAACCTTTGTACTTTGTTGAAGTGGAACTGCATAGAGGTTGTAGCTGTGTTTTAGCAAAATGGGATAAAATTGGCATGTACAATATTTTGGAGCTTTATGATAAAACAAAGCATATGGGCTTTACTGATAATGACACGGGTTTAAACCACATATCTTACATCTCATTCTTCCATAGCTTAGTATAAAAACTCCCACTCTTTACTAAATTTGTTTTTCTTTCAGAATGGAATGAAATATAAGCTAAAGCATTATGAAAGCAACCATATTGCCCATTTTTCATTACAGCTGTTGCAGGTGCATAGAACTATGTATCTTAATAAGCTTTTATTTAAAAATTGGGAAGTTTCCAAAAGTTTCCTGTAGTCTTTTTACTCCAGATTTTTGGTCTTGTTTTCCTTGCAGGCATTTAAAACATACTTTCAAATCAACAAAATGGTTCCAGAAAAAGAGAGGAGGTTTTGGAATGTTCTTTATAGGAAAATCTTGAAGATCTGGCTTTTTCCCCTCTAAGGTGGGGTTAGGAAAGAAATTGAGCCTCATTGTTGATATATATTGCCTTCGGCAGCCACTTCTTGCTCTGCTGGTTTTGATATATAAATAAATCCCTTCTCACCCTATGGGTGGTATGTGTTGTTCTCAATTTTCAGTTTTCTGTTAGATGCCTGAGAGATGGAGGTTGTACACAATATCTTAGCTATTCCCAGCACTGCACTCTTCTAGACCGAGAACTCTGATATTTCCTGGGATCTTTCGAAACTACTCTCCCAGCTTAGAAGTTGCAGCCCAAGTGCTCTACCATCATTGGGATCATTTTGGCCTTTGCTTTCCATGTTCTCTAATTCCTTCTCCGGCCCCTGGGACTTCTCCAACTTCTCATACTCCTCCTTCCTGATGTTGCTATTGCTTGGTACATTTATCACCACCCTTGTCTGGTTATGATAAATATAGTGGTAGTCTATTACCACGATGTTTGGTTGACTGGCCATCAACCAAACAGTACCTCCTGTCCATCTGGATCTAGAAATCCCACAGGACCTTAGCCCTCTTATTCTCCATAACCTGTGGAATCTTCCATCTGGACATGGGAGACTCTAACCAATTCACTGTGCAAATGGTCTTGTACGCAATGCCAGCTATTTAGTTGTGTAGTTCAGTATATACTGTCCCTGCCTGAAAATTACATCCTGCCACTTTGTGTTGGACTGTTTTTGAGGCATTTCTGCACCGTCTGTACCTTGGGTCCTATCTAATATGATAGTTTCCCTTTTTATGGATCTGGTACTTAGTGCCTATTCTGATGCTACCATAATCAGTGCCTCCGTCCTGTCTTTTAGTCTGGCTCTTCCTAGCCTCTGGTAGGATTTCACAATGTCACCCACCAGCTATCTGTCAATGATTTGATACATCCCATGCAAGGGGATGGCATGACACTTCCTCTGCTTGATCTTTCTGCCATGTTTGCTGTTGTCTCGTGCATTCTCTCTGCAGCTCATATTTGAGTGCCATCTTATTACTTATATTAAAAAAAAGATACCAAATTTATCTGGCCTGGAAGAATGAAGAAATTAAATGTACCGAGTGTCTCAAATTTTGCATTCATATTCACTGCTTATTTTGAATCTGTAAATAACTGCACATAAGTATACATTTGGAGAAAGTTTTTCAGTTGAAAAGTGTCCTGTTCAGAGGTGGTATCAATTACTTAGGGATTCGGTTGAAATGTATGATTTGATTTGGCATGCAACTATGTATATGAAGAGCCTATTCTCCTTACCCAATAATTTAAAAAGCCACTTATATGTGCAAAAAAGAGGAAGCCATGCTGTGAAAAATCTGAATCCTACTTTTTCTCCTACCATGTTTTACATGTGGCCATGTAATCCCAGAAATGTAACGTTTCCAAAGACAGAGACAATCTGTAAATAGTCAAATGGAAGTCAAGAGCTAGGGCATCCATCCTTAAGATTTTTTTTTCCCTACATGAGTATGAACTCAGTGAATTTTATTCTGGTCATTGTCCCATCAGAGAAGAATGAAATTTCTGCTTCCTCAACAGCTTGGAGTAAGAAATGCTGGTGTGCATCATGCAGAGGAAGCAGTAGTTGGGATACTGGTATATGTATGCACGTGTGAGACGCAGGGCGCAAGTAATGAAGATTGATTTAAAAGTGCATCTCTCCTAGGTAGCTTGCTATATACAATGATAGCTAGTGACAGGTCAAAACCATATACATTAAATCTGATATTTTATCGCAATCTGTGAAACTCAGCAAACTTTGTCCAGAACGGCTGAATAATATATGTCAGAGTAAGTAGGGGTGGGGGAATGCTGAATTTGCTTGGGTAAACCAATGTATGCATCTTTTATCCCTAAACAGGCAGGGATTTGAACTGCGCGTGCTGCTGATTTCGGGCGATTTCTACCTCAGGGCCAGATTATAAAATACGTAATACTGTCGCTCAAAGCGTAACCCGTACAGGAATACCCACCACCCCGTCTCCGCAAGAGAAGCCCTCGCTTCCTCAGTCACAAGCCAGAACTCTCGCGATTACGCCAAAACGGGAAAACACGGCCTCCGCCTCCCATTTTGTTACTGGCCAAGCGAGAAGCCAATCGTGGGAGCGCGCTCTTGCGCAACGTCGCTGGTTGGCGGGGCGGGCTTCCCCGGGTTTCTATAAAGGCGCCTGGAGCGAGGAGGCCCTCGCTGCCGCTGCGTTCTTTGACCTTCTCCTCTCCTTCGAAGCTTCCGAGCGGACGGCCCAGGCACCCCCATCATGGCACCGAGGAAATTCTTCGTGGGCGGGAATTGGAAGATGAATGGCGACAAGAAAAGCCTTTCGGAGCTCATCCACACTCTCAATGAGGCTAAGGTCCCTGCAGAGACCGGTAAGGAGGACTTACTGCCGGCTGAAAGGGAAAAGGAAGAGCTTTTGTCTTGGGAAGGGATGGGGGGAGTACCGTGAGCTCTGCCTAAAGGAGGAGCCTTGCAAGAGCAGCAGCCCCGTTTCCTTCGCTTGCATCCCGTCGCTGTCCCCCATTATCGACAGCGGACAGTGGGTTTCCTGGGCGTGGGAAAGGGGCCTCACCTAACCTCAAGAGCTCCTGCCGGTCCCCCCTCCCTCTCTCCAATTGGCCGGGGAAGCAGCGTTTTCTTGTCCGGCGGGCAATTGCACAGCATCCTTCGCCACGCGGAGGAGGTACCCGCCGTGGCCGCGCCTAAATAAAGCCCTCCTGCTGCTTGTGTGACCGCCTGCACGTACCTCCGAGACCGGGGAGCTTTATAAGAATGAATTGAGGACAATCGGCTGTTTGAGAAAAGCAGATTCGGGCTGGGCTGGGCTGGGCTGGGCTGGAGAAGCTATTCGATTTATATTCCTGTCAATCTCACAAAATGACTCCCTAAAAACCTATATAAATCCTACTATGTTAGCGTTTGTTTCTTGTTGACAGAATCAGGCTCTGCAGAAGCTGGTGAGCCAGGAGTCGTCTGTTTTAACTGCCCGTGCAGCTAGGTTATAACATTCAAGACCAAATATAAGAAATGATAATTTTAGCTAAGCTAATGAAGCTATATAATTTAAACTTTTAAGTAAAATACATGAATAACAAAAATCATAAAATTGGTTTCAAGGAACCAGTTTAGAATGTTATCTTCCTTACAACTTGCTTCCTGTATTGGCAGGCCTTATGATGACTAGGCCTATTTGCAGCCACAGCTTTGCCCAAATCACAGTAATATTCATGTTTAAAGACTCCATCTGGTCTCTGAGAATGAAGCAATAGGATAGGGATTGCTAAATTAATCTGCTTGTGAACCTTCAGTTCTTTCATGTAAGTGAATCCAACAGTCTTTTAAGTGATACTAAGTGAAACAGGTTGGCCAACAAGAATTGTGCAGAGCGGCCAAAGAGGATGATACATCTGGTGCCTTTTAATACTAGAGCCCATTCTTTATAGGAAGATAGCAACCTGGCATGTTGCTTTGAACGCTAAAGAAATGCCTTTTAATGCTATTTGCAAAACCCAGTAAGAATTCCTCTGGTAGCAATGACTTGAAAGTATCAGACGGAACCAGACCCTTCTGGCAAGTTCTCTGCTAGCTCGGTCAAAACGGAAAGGGCAAGGTGGATTGAGAAAGGAGTGCAGTTTCTGAAGTGATATTAGAAGGAAATGTCAAAGGCTCTGGAGGAGAAAGATTCCTAAATATAGGTGTTAGAGTATTGCCTAAAAATATCAGCTACTGTACTTGGAACTGGAAACTTTATCCCTATAGCCTGCTAAAGGTCAGGAGAAGGGATGAAGTATAAAAGATACAATTTATTGACCCAGATACTCATTCTATTAATACCTCTTCTATATAGTGCTGCTTGCTTGATTTAGTTGGGTAAACTACATTTGAATGGTTCTGCATTTCCTGGTCTACATTACTAATCTGTATTGAATAGAATACCACAATAATAGTCTCTTTCCTATGATTTTTCAGCCTGGTTTTAAAAAAAACACAATTATGGAGTATACATAGAAAAAAAATCATCAAAACACAAGCACTTACCCCTCCTATATTTTCCTAAAATATAAGACATAAAGACAGGCCTATGTTAACTGAGGTTATAATTCACTATTATAAAGAAGCTACTAGGCTTAGCTTTATTTTTACCTTCTCTTTTTCATTCACTCACAAAGTTTTCTTCCAGCTTTATAACTGCATGGCACATACAAAGTATGCAGCTGCAGGCTATTTGTTCACCTAAGTGGTAACTTTTAATTGATGGTTAGCCTTCAGGTTCTTAAATGGAATGAAATGTTTTCCTATCACTAGTGCAACAATTCATTTAACTTCCTGCTGTCTTTCATTTGTGGCTTTTATCTACACAAAATGACAAATCAATGAAGCTTATGAACCTTAGAATAGAGCTGGCAAGCAGAGCCATACAGATCAAAAGAGTTACTATAATTCTTCACTTCTTCATTTAAAAACCTTTAATTCTGTCTGCCTAAAATAGTTAATTATGAAATTTTTATGGAGAAAATCAAAGGTACTTAGTGGCTTCTTGCGTAGTAGAGTGCATGCAACATTTTATTTGCTCAGACTGAACTGTAATAGCAGATTATAAGCAAGTATCAGCAGATGGCATTTGTTCTTAGGTTCTGATGAATATCACCTCTTAACTTCAAACCAAGCTACTACAACAATAGGTCAGGCTGGTATGAAACTTATATGAAAAGCACCTCTGCTATTTCTGAAGGATAACAGTGGGCTGGTAAGAGAAATGTATAGAATATTTGAATAGCAGTTATGCGCAAGATATAGATATAACTCTTCCAAGGTGCTCCTCCTGGTTAGGGTGCCTGTGCTGGCTCCAATCTCTTGATTGTTGTCAGATCCCAAAATCAAGAAAGACATGTAATGAATCTTCCAACTAAATTTCTTTGTTCCACACCTGTAAATAGAACAATGCCCAACTAAAGCAAACTATTACCCACATGAAGCCTATACTTAAGGAACCATTAGGGAGGGTCTGTTTTTACCCTCTTTTTCTCAGAAATCCTCTGAATTAAGTTGTTGCTTCTCTGGAATGCATTCTTCTGAGAATCTACCTTCTTACTACATTTCATCACAACTGATTACCTTTAGGCAAATATACTCAATTAAAAATACATTGATTTGAGTAGTAAGATCAGAGCGTTAAGTGCAGGTGATGCTTTATGACAGGGGTATTCAAACTTGACAGCTTTAAGACTTGTGGACTTCAACTCCCAGAATTCCTCCTCCAGTCATGTTAGCTCAGGAATTCTGGAAGTTGAAGTCCACAAGCCTTAAATTTACCAAGTTTGAAGGCCCTTGCTTTATGATATAGCTGTAAGGTTACACCGGTTATAAAGGCCAAGGGCCAATAAGGGATGGGATTTGGGGATTACATGTATCCTATGAATGCCATAAATGAATAGAAGATTTGAATGCAAATGAATAAATGGTAAGTCTGCAATTGAAAGGGCATTTTAAGTTTCTGCTTTATCCCACATGGTGTTCTTTTTCTTGTTCCAGAGGTGGTTTGTGGTGCCCCTTCCATTTACCTTGACTTTGCCCGTCAGAAACTTGATGCCAAGATTGGGGTGGCTGCACAGAATTGTTACAAGTTGCCTAAAGGAGCATTTACAGGAGAAATCAGGTACGTTACCTGGCCTATGGAAAGCCACACGTTTTAAGCTAGCAGTGTGCTAAAACCTCTGTTTTCTTTTTCTAGCCCATCCATGATAAAAGATGTTGGTGTCACCTGGGTGATCTTAGGACACTCTGAGAGAAGGCATGTCTTTGGTGAGTCAGATGAGGTGAGTGATTTTACCTTTATGTATTTCTTTTCCTTCTTCACCGCCATCTATGACAGGCACTGGGCTTTTTAAACCCAGGATATGCACCAATCTTGTATAAGTTTTCTTTACTTTGTTTCTGCCTCTTTTCAGCTCATTGGACAGAAGGTGGCCCATGCCTTGTCTGAAGGGCTTGGAGTCATTGCTTGCATTGGAGAGAAACTTGATGAGCGAGAGGCTGGTATCACAGAGAAGGTGGTATTCGAACAGACCAAAGCCATTGCTGGTAAGAGACCATGAGAGGAACTCTAGGGAGGGAGTTACTTTTTTTTTTTTTTTTTGAAAATTTTATTTGGGTTTTCACAAAAAGAACATAATACAAATAAAACATCTTTTTTTGAAAATAGCATGGTCCCGGGTTACACTTCTTCATACAGACACAAACTCAATTTCATGTTTATTTCTGTATTCTATTCCATATCTTATTACTGTTTTACATTTTCTACATAGTTTTTCCCCTCTTTTAATTTTCTCAATTTTGTTTTGATTATCTGATCTCAATTCAAATCATTAGATTTATACTTTTGTCTGTTCTGTTTCAATTTCATATTATCTTATTAAACAAATTTTCTCCTGTAGTTACTAATTGGAATATGACACCTTTATATCTTTTAATTTTATCCATTCAACTCTTATTTAAGCTTCAATGTATACCTTTAAGATTATAACATTCAATACAATACATAACTTCCAATTGAATTCTGCTTGGTACATTCTTAAAATACACACTATATTCTTAAAAAAAGATTATATATATATATGTAAATAAAACACTCATTCCATTCCAATTCAATTCTATCATTAATATTCATTAAAATCTTAACATCTTTTACCTTTCTTTTCAATTAAATATCATACTTCCTTGGGAACACTTATAAACTTTTCATAATTAATTTTTTTTCCATATTTCTCTTCACTTATATTTTATAAATCATTAATAATTAAAATGTTTCCATCCTTTTCTAATTTAATTCTCTTATTCACTTTATTTCATTTATTAACAAACATTCCACTAGATTATGATAAATATTTTATCCATCATTTTAAGCATATTTTCTAAAATTATTTCTATTTGTAATATAACAATACTATCTTATGTACCTTTGCAGAATCCCTTTTACAATTAAGTTTTCACCCATTATCTCTAAATAGGCTTATACTTTCAATTCTTAGAGCTTTGCCCTATTTTTCTATATCTTGTTTCTGTCCTTTATAACTTCTTTTCCTTTCCTTCTTCCCTCTCTTCTTGTCTCTCCCCCTTTTACCCCCTTGTCTCTCTACTTCTAATTCTCTCTTCTGTATTTCCTTCTTCTGTTGCTTTCTAATATACTTATTTTTCAAACTATTCTTCTTTTTGGTTGTTTTTTCAAACAAATCTTAAACTTTTTGTTCTCTTCCCCCCTCTTTCCTTTTTTCCCCCCACATAAAATTACTTGTTCATTAAAGATGGCTTCTTCTTTGTCTCAATCTTCTTGTTCTGCAAGCATTTCCTGTTGTTTCTCATAGTTCCAGATCTCCATTTCTAAGAGTTGAAGTACGAAGCCAAAATAACTTCTCTTTTCTTGTGCATCTTCTTTGTACTTTCTAAAGTTCCATTTTCAATTCTTCTTAAAGTGGTGCCATTTTAAACACTTTTAAACAACCACCCGATTGATTTTAGTCATTTAAATGCAATAACCAAAAATCCAGAGATCACCAAGTAATCCAAATAATCCCAAGATGTTTCTTACTTCTTTTTTCCACTTTCTCTTCCTGGGGTTCTATTTTGTTGCCAAGTTTCAGTTAAAATGTATCTTTTAGGAATCTTGTTGGTTTTAATTCCAGGCAGTCTCCTCCATTTTTCCAGATCCTGCCCTTTTATTCTTTTTCTCTCCTTTCCTGCTTTTGAAAGCTTTTAAGTATCCAGAAATCTTTATTATCCCTTTGACATTTTATTTTCAGCTTAAATGCCTGTTGATGTCAAAGTGGATTTTTTTTCCAATTTCTTGCTTAAGTCTCTTAGCTGTCAGTATATGGAAGGGAAGAGAGAAAAAAACAACACCAAATCCTTTCCCTTCTATCTCTCCTTCAAAATCCTCTTTGGGAACAATGTTATTTTTTTTATAGTTTAAATTCCAGGGTACCTTGCATTGTTGCTTTTGCAGTTTAACCCGGTCAACCAAGACTTTCTCTTATCTTCCTCCTGCACATTCTTTTCCGGTCAAGATCTTCTTTGAGGTGACCATTTCTGACCACCACTGCAACCGCCTTCAGGAAAGGGAGTAATGGCCAGCTGAGGAGGAGAGATGCGGCTCTCCTCAACCCTGCTGGCAGTCTTCCCCCTCTTCACCACCTCTACGGGGTGGCTTAGATCCGATACCATCCGGCTCAGGGCGCTCCGGCGGCGAGCACAGATCGAAACCGTGCACGATCGCGGTTTCGGTCTATCAGCGAAGGAACTCAAGCCGGAAGTCCCCTAGGGAGGGAGTTTCTCATCTCTCCCCCATCCTTCCTGACTTATTCAAAACAGCAAAAGTCTCTTGGTTTTTGTTTTAATTAAGTTCCCACCAACTAGGGAGATTAGAGCAGTAAAACACATTTATTGCTGTTAAAGTAATCAGACAATTATTCTAGATTAGGCATAAAATGCCATAGTTCATGCTCAGAAAGTCTTACATCATAGATCTTAACAGATCTTTTAGGTAAATCAGAATGTGTTGCTTGTTATGTTAACTGCTGGATATACTAATGCCCATTGTCAAAAACAAGGGCTCCAGAGGTAAAGAGTCATTGCTATGACTGATTTGTTGTTACTTAGGTTAGGGTAACTGTCCTTGTGTTTTCATTTGCCTCACTTGTTGTCAGTCTTTGTTGGCTAACCATAGAAATGCATGGAGGGAAGCTGCAAGACACAATCAGAGGACTAATCATTCTTCCCCTCTCTACCATGTGGGATTTTTCTCAGTTCCTAAATAACATTTATTTGCTTTGTTTTTTTCCCCAGACAATGTGAAGGACTGGAGTAAAGTGGTTCTTGCCTATGAGCCAGTTTGGGCCATTGGAACTGGTAAAACGGCAACTCCCCAACAGGTATGAAAGTGTCTAGGGACATCCTGTTTTCAAACCTTGGGTCTCTTTTTTAGAGACTCCCCAAGTGAATAGCATCTCTTATCTTCACTTCAAGATGTCTGCAGCTACATGACAATACAACTTCTTAAAAACCCACTTTTTTTAACCTACTTTCTCTTGCAGGCTCAGGAAGTTCATGACAAGTTGAGGAACTGGCTGAAGACCCATGTTTCCGAAGCCGTTGCACAGTCAACTCGAATCATCTATGGAGGTATGTAGAATCTGTCCTCGATCATTGCATAATGATGCTGTGGTAACAATTTGCCAGTTTGTTTCCTGAATGCATATCAAGCTCCCTATTTCTGATGTCTGTGTAATAATAGAGCATTGATATTTGACGGAGTCATTTTTATAAACAATGTAACCCTGAATTGGGAGTATACTTAATGATATCCTGGTCACCCTCACCTACACAGAATTGGGATCTGAAAAAAGTTTTTTTTTTAATGAAGAGAATGATTCGAGATGATATTTTATGGAGAAACAAGCAGCTGAGAAGTGATATACAGTAAGACTATAGATACTTCCAAAATTATTTGGAAAAATGCTTCATTCAGACAAGCACAGCATCTCTGGTATTCGTTGAAACAGCTTTATTTGTTTGAGAGTAATGTGGCTCTCCCCAAACTTTGGGGGGATGGGGGAAATCGGGGTTCAGATCTCTTAAGTAAATTACAAAGCTTGACGTATTGAATAGGTTTCTGATAAGAATTTAAAGGTTTGACTGCGTGTGGTATACAGTGTAATGCTGTGTGACTAACAATACCTAAATCCATAAAATATATTAAATACCTTCCCTCCTCCATTAAAAGCCATCAAGCTCTAGCCAAACAGCATAATAATTTGATTGATGTATGACATCCAGAGTTGCTTTTTGTAAAATGGATGGGTATTTAAACATAAATAACAGCCTTGCACCAACTGTGTCTGCGCTGGGTTCAATTCATGTCTTGGCCCAGTGCTAGTGGAAAACTAGATTTGCCTCCTAGGCAGAATAGGTCCTACGAGATCATTTGATAGAGGGGACCTGAAGCATTCCCATCCTGTTGGATCTGGTGGGATGGGCAGATATCCTCAAAGACAACTTGACCCTGTGCCATTCAAGACTTTAAAAGTGATAACTAACACCTTGAACTGCACTCAGAATGTGAGAACCAGTGTGGTTTATAGTGCAGGTGAATTTTGGAGCTGCATGTGCCATTGCATTGTGGATCAGATGAAGCTTCTGGATGATTTTCAAGGGCAACCTGTAGTCCAACAACCACTTTTTCAGCAACCTTTCAGTTTGGACAGGGCTGAATGAACAAAACTTATTACTGGCCCTCAAACATTCTGGCTATTGCACTGCCCCTGTGCTCACATGATTGCAATTCAGGTGCCTGGCAACCAGCTTGCACTTATGATGGTTTTGATGTCCTGAAGCAATCTGATAATCTTTTGTGACCTCACCTGCTAGCTTCCCACAAGCAAAGTCAATGGAGAAGCCAGGAGGGAAAGTTGCAAGTCATTCTGGTAAATCCCCTCCCCTGCCTTCCTATGAAGCGTGCCACACACTACATGGCCTTTCTGCACTCGTATCAACCCTGGCCTCCATGCACTTGTATGGACCCACGCCCTCCTCTGAGTATCTCTTGTACTTTCAACCTCCTTCCCTTGGTATCTCCACACTCACATGGACTTGTGCCCTCAGCTTCTCTACATTCACACGCCACACCACAACACCCTCATTCTCCAACTCTCATGCAACCTTCACCAAGCCTCCAGGTTTCCCCCAGGTCCCTCTTTCCTCCCCCCTCCCAGGTAATATCCCACCACTTCCCACTTTGCATGTTTTGGGGTTATGACAGCAGCCAGGATTGCTGTCACTAATCGATGCAGTCATGTAATAGGCTTTTTTATTGTATTGTTTAGCTATGGCAATCTTGGTCCCAATAGCCATTGTAACTTGAGGATTGTCTATATATCTCTTTCAGATTGTACTCCACCATATGCCAGTTGCCTAAGCCCATCTGATTAAACTAAATTCCATCTTTCCCAAAAGCTTTGCATGGGGATTTGTTAGGGGCATTATCTTTTTTAAAAAATGATGAAACACCTTGCATTTTTTGTTTCTACTTACTGTATTCTACGTTCTGCATTTTTTTTTCTTTTCCTAAATGAAATTTTATTCTTTCTAGGTTCAGTTACTGCTGCCAACTGCAAAGAATTGGCCTCTCAACATGATGTAGATGGCTTTCTTGTTGGTGGGGCTTCCCTGAAGCCTGAATTTGTAAGCATCATCAATGCAAAACAGTGAAACCTACTCTATAGAACCTGAAATAAAAAAAAGCTGGAGGGAGAACCAACCCTGGTTGGAAGAGAAATACTGTAAAGATACACTTGCACTCAAGTGAAATGGCCTCACCTTCAATCCCTTTTCCCACCTTTATCATTCACCTCTGCTGCTAAACATGGATGCCAATATATGAATATTGTGTTCCTTCATAAAAGCAATATTTCATTTGCTTCCTCTGTACTTGTGAGAGGGGCTTCCTGCCTTGGTTTTTAGGCTCTGTAAACTAGTCAGGCCTATTTTCTTTCCACTCCAAACTTCTGCTCTAGAGGGACATCTGCCTTGTTAAGGAAGGTGTTCACCTCATGGTTCACCTAATTTGGACTCTGTGCCTAGTGGCTTGTAATTGCCTGTAAGTTGTATATTCCTTCCGTGTCTCCTAGGCCGTTGGTATAACTAGAAATAAACAAATGGAAAGTAGTGTGTAGGAACTATTATTGTTGTTTGAGGGAAAACATCTCAAAAGCTTTTGATATACATAAGAGTTTTTACACATTTTTAGAGAATGCTGAATTCTCATTCCTTATCATGCTGGTTCTGTTCCAGCGAGCTAGGAATTGGAACTGGACATAAGAAACTATGCATATGCTTAAGGGAAAATGCCTGTAACACACTGACAGGATTTCTCAAGATCTTAAGGCAAGAATCAAGGCTCAGTTCTTCTTTCCCTATGCCTGACATATCAGTGGTTGATAGTCAGCTCCACAGCAGTGTTATGAAATGTCTTCAAACTCCATCAAACACTACTAGTTCCATTTCTTTGTCTTTCAAACAACACCTAACCACAGATAGTTCGGTGCAAAACTGCTCTCCCTGTGTTAAGAATGGGATTCTGCTTAAAAAGTGCCTCATATCTCCCCAAAGTTACATTTAGGCATCATGGATTATTCACAGAGTCGTCATTAGGATTATATGGAAGTCAAAAGGCATTCACAGTTCTAAATGTTTGTTGCCCTATTCTAAAATTGAGAAGGCTCAATACTGAGTAGGATGAGAATATTTGACATAGGGTCTGTCGCTTTCAAGCCTCTTGGTTGTCATAAATGGTGCTGTAAGGGTAAAAGCTATTAAGAAAACAGTTTATACTGAGAACATATCCAAAGTAATTGTAGAAGCAAACATCCATGCATGTTGGGGATATGGTTTACATGTATATATCATTGGGCCATATTCAATTGGTTGAAAGCAGGGATACGTCATTACAACCGGATGCAACCAGTTACGACCACAGAATGGGGTGCTTTTTATCAAAAGCAGGCATGAAATAAATTTTAATTATTCCAAGATTTAAGTTTTAAAAGAGGATGCAAAAAGTATAGCTTGGAGAAGTCTACTGCAGAGCTTCATTTATTCTGTCCCTCGTGAGAGAACTTTTGCTAGAGGTAAAATGTGGATTGATAAAGGAAATGTGAGGTTGGAGTTTTTGTTTTTGCTTTTACTGGGATATAGTCATGTTTCAAATTATGTGTCTAATTTCCAAATAATTTTATATGACACTACTCAAAACTAATCAGTATTTTAGGCAGAATTGTAGGCAATGTGAGAGTGTTGTATTGCCCTTTGAGGTAGTCTGGAAAGAAGCACAAACCATGAGTACTAAGATCCTTTTATTGTAAGGTTAAAGTAACAAAATCTTGCCAGTCTTAAAGGACTTTCCTCCTTTCCAGAAAAATGGTGAGGATCCCTTTTGAGGTGCTTCCTGTCCCTTCTACAGACTGAGGTAGCTTTTGCATATCTAGGCTATGGCTCTTCCTCCTGTTTCCCAGGGTCATTCTCACGTACCCATTACATACTCCTTGCTCTCTCCCCACATACATTTGAAAACTTTTAGAGTAACTTAAGATGCAGATGGCAAAAATGGTATCCTGTAGTATTTTTTGTGACCCCACAAGACAATATTTGCTTATTCTGGAGCACTGCCCCTTTTTTTCCTAGCAGGCAGAATCGGTTGCAAAAGGCCTACAGTGGATTACTGGAATATGTTTCACTTTAGGATAGAAACAAAAATAATATCTGACTTTTATATTGCTAAAATTTGAGATTAACCATTCCAGCTGACCAAGACTATAGTTCCAGGTTTTATTTTAATCTAGCCAGAGTTCTTGAGAGCTCCAAAAAGTTTTGGGTTGTTTCTAAGAAAGCTATCAACTAACTTTAGATTATGGTTAAGTAGGAATTTCAGACTATTTTCTATCAACATCTTCAAGTATTACCTGTGTCTTTGCAAAAATAATTTGAGCATTAGAGGGAGAAATTAAAGACATAATTGCTGGAAGTCCCATTGATTTCTGAACTTTGTCTCACTTCTTTAATTGTTATTAAATACTTTTTCAAACAAAATGAAATTTATGAAGTAAGAATAAAGATTAAAAAAAATAAGAGAAAAATAAAAAACATGGCTTCTGACTTCCTTTGCAACAAAAATTAACGTGTTATCCAGTCTCCCTCATTAATATTATAAAAATCCCTTTGGCCCCTTGATTACTCCTTATTCTCTTATCAAATCTATAAACCACTTCACTTTTCTCTATTCTCAATAAAAAGTTCATAAAAGGTTTGTTTTATCCATGCTCATGGCATATCAGATATCTTCACAACTCATTTCTCTATTGTGCATTTAATGCTTGTCACATTTTTCGTGCACATTGGCAAAAGCAGATATATAAGCAAGAATATAAGTCAGTTAAAGATATTTGCTGAATTAAATGCTAAATTGATATAACATTCAGGAATTAATTTGCAAAATTGGCAAAGAAAATATTGGTAGAGGCAGCATCTATTACAGCAACTGCACTTTGAAATCAACTTGTCTTGTACAAATTTTATCAAGGTGAAAATATATTTTATTCAGTCACTGAATTTGGATAAAGCTGTTTTTGATGCTCCTCTGTTTAGATCAGTGTTTTTCTTGCCACATTTGAAAAATGCTGATCTAAATGTTTATTCCATGTCCAGATCAAGGATATGGTAATAATATTAGAAACTTGGGCTCTTTGCTGGGCTGTGATCCTGTCGCATTCTTTGGACATACTTTGGCTCCTGCCCCAGATCTGTTGAATAGATTACAATGTGGTTTGCACCTCACTGGTTTAATTCAGAGAACAGCCTGTTGTGATACTGGATTTGTTTGAAGAGGCTGTCAGCTAAAGTATCTGTCAGTTCAATTTGTTGGATTCAAATCTTAATACAATGCCAAAAGGATTAAACCTACTGCATGTTTTGTTTTTTAAGTTGACATAATCAAGGGGTCAAACTTGAATCTGTACACCCAGCAATTAAGCCCCACTGAGATCAATAGGACGTGTATATATAGGATTCAAATATACAGTATATATAAAGAGCTAAATTGAAGAAATCAGATTATCTGTAACGTATCATCTCTAACTGGGTATTCAGAAATTTATTTTTAATCATAGCCCTTACTAGATCAAAAATCATACATGAATCAGGCAGGTGTTTGAATTGGGCTTTTAATCTGTACACTGCATAGAATTTAACAAGATGAATGTGACTATATAAATGTCTTAATTTTTGGAACTATATATCAGGTAAATTGCATTTTGGTGGCCAAGAATCTTCTCTATTAACAGTCACATCACAGAAAAATTGAGCAAAAGCCTTGTGACCTTTGCTACGGCATATCAAAAATAGTTGTAGCCTGATTTCTTAATATGTTCACAAAGTCAAATATTAAACTGATAAGTTATTTCATAAACACTTTATTCAGCAGATTGCATAACTTTTAATCCAATTACAGGGAATAAATAATTGAATTGTCATATTTCATTTAGTTTGATCAATCCTATGTCTTATAATGGTAATGTACGAAAGAGGACAGATGATTTTGGATTTCAGACAATATTACATAGTGGCCATCAAGAACAAGGGCAAAGTTCATAAAAGAATTGGAGTTGACTTTCCCAACTGAGGGCATGCTCAGAGTAAGAAGGGACAAAGAACATACGGAGATGAGATAGGAAAGTCTTGACAAATTGTTTGGAATCTTAGCTTCCAGGGAGGAGATAATTCCCAATTTTTTAATTTGCTGGGATTTATTAAGACTGAAATAAAAATGCCTCATGTATAGTAACTGATAAGAACAAAAACATTCACAAACATTTTTTTAAAGTATGAAACTATTCTCCAAAGAAGAAACCCATCTTACACAAGATACTAACTAAATCATAAGATCTGTGCAAACTAGTATAAAAGCTACCACAATATTATAAACCAGAAACAAGCCAACTACATTCAGATGTAATAAATGAGCTCAGACTTATTCTTAAAATCCAATGCAACCCTAATCACAGTGAACCTGTCCAGAATACTACTCCAGTGTTAATCTTCATGCACAACTGATTAAATTGTGATACTCCTTCAGGACTAAATGCAGACACACCCTGCATAATTGGTGGCAAGTGGTCTCAAAACATTCTATATGGCTTGATAGAACAGCTTTTTTATTTCCCACTTTCTTTTGATGTTCCTGTTTTACCATACCTAAGGTATATCTTGGGAATAGTCTTAACAGAATCCTTAAATCTCGTTCAATTTTTACACTGTCTTTCTGAAGATCTTATCAATTAGTCTTCTAGTAACTATTTTGTGAGTATTCCCAGCCATAGCTCTTACGTGAACAGGCAAATATTCATATATTTTGTATGGAAATTTACAACAGGTTCTCCAACTTCTAATGTTCCCACCAGTCAAAAAAGACTGCTTACCCTGATTCATTAGCTGTGTTTACTATGTACATGGAAGCATTCAAAACTATTTTAAACCATCTTTTCCACACAACTTGCTTGTGGTCTTTCCTTAGGAATCCATGCACAAAAGATTCTGTAGCTCTATACCTTGCCATACGTTCCTCTTAAGTCTTGGAGTCTTCATCTCATTGAGCTTCTAGATGGTGTAGCCATTTGGGTCCCAAGCACTAGATAAACTCCCTGTTCAGCCCTCGAGTTACACTTGATAGTGCCCAGCATTTTATCTTCTTTGAACTATATGTATTTAGCTTTTAGGAAGGATTTTTACCCATGTTGCAAATGTATTTGCTACACAAGTGTATTGGATTTCTCAAGAGTGCAGTTACCTGTTCTGTAGATGTAACCCTACTACATGTTTTATGTCTTCTGTCACTTCACTGACATATCCTTTGGGGCACGCAACAAAATCATATTTTCATGTTAAAAGAGCAGGGGAGAGACACCCTACGATATTTGAGTGGAGGAGATCCCAAAATAAAGAAGTGGACACCAGAGTGTTTGGTGCCATCATCAGACTAATGTTTTCAGTATTCCATTCTCCCCAGAAATCATACTTCCTATTTTTGATGGTAGATAACAAAGAAATAGCAACTTTTTTTGCCAGAAAAGCATGTTTCTATTAGGAAGGTCCACGCCTAATTTGGACCTGCCTAG